CCCCCCAGCTCTGCCGGTGCCCCTCACTCCCGACCCGCAGCCCCCCCCAGCCCAGGCCTGGGTTTTCCCCATCTCCAGGCCCAGTTCAGGCCAGAGAGGGGACTGCTGGGAGAGGCCAGGGATGGAGTAGTGGGGGGGAGCCCCCCCCCATAGCGCCCCCTATTGAGAGAGGCCAGGCTGGGGTGATTCTGGGCATGTCTCCATCTCTCGGCTCTGTCCCACCCTCAGGCCCCTCGATCCCAGCGTCACCATGAGCCCTGTCGCCTCGAGCCGGCTGCTGGCGGGAGCCATCCTGGCCCTAGTGCTGGGGGACCCCACGGACGCCTGCACCTGCATGCCCCGGCACCCCCAGACGGCGTTCTGCCAGGCCGATGTCGGTGAGTGACCCCTGCCCCCCAGCACCCCTCTGAGCCCCCACCCTGCCCCCAGCACTCCCCTATGAGCCCCCCCACCCTGTCCCCCAGCACCCCAAGATGCCGTTCTGCCAGGCCGACGTAGGTGAATGACCCCCCCAATGCCCCACCCCCCAGCACAGTTCCCCCCGTAATTTTTGCAACTCCCCCGAACACGCATAAGTTCTTGTGCCCCTCCCGCAGAGCTAGAAACGCCATCTCCCAGCTGAGACGTCCTACCCCCCGCCCACTGCACCTGTCAACCAGGAGCGCTCCCCCTGCCCTTGTGTGCCCCAGCATCAGTATAGCTATTACCTGCTGGAGCGGCTCCAAGCTGATTCTGGGGTCACGGCTCCAGCCCCGACGCCCCCACAGAGTGAGTGTGTGTGTGTGTGTGTGTGGGGGGGGGGAATCCTCCTCCCTCCAAGGCGTGGAAGAACCCAGGAGTCCTGAATCCCAGACGCAAGGCGACCAGACAGCAAATGTGAAAAATCGGGACAGGGGGTGGGGGGCAATAGGAGCCTATATAAGAAAAAGACCCAAAAATCGGGACTGTCCCTATAAACTCGGGACGTCTGGTCACCCTAGCACAGGGGGACCCTGGAGTCCGGGAGGGAGGGAGGGATTCCCCCTGTTGTCTGGGTCATATCAGAGTCGACTCTGGTGGTTCTAGATGCCTGGGGGCTGCCGGAGAGCTGGGGGCCTGTGGGGGTGCCCTGACCCCTGTCTCTTTGCCGCTCAGTGATTCGGGGCAAGTTCGTGGGGGTCACTCCGCTGAGCCCCAGCGGCGAGGAGTTCCCGTCCTGGATTCGCTACGAGATCAACGTCACAAAGGTACCTGCCCGCTGCCCCGAACACCTCCCTGCTCCCCACAGCCAGCCCCCTGCCAACCCCCACTCCCCCTGCCCCGCGCCCCACAGCGCCCCCTGCTGGTCCAGGACAGGACTGGGGTAGCCAGGAGCTCCCCCCACAGCCAGCCCCCTGCCCCGCTCCCCACAGCGCCCCCTGCTACTCTGATGCGCGTCTCCCCGCAGACCTACAAGGGGATCGGGTCACCGGGGGACGTGCTCTTCATCGACTCCTTGGAGGAGGAGAGCCTCTGTGGGTACCGACACCCGGGGCCCCTGGACGGGAAGGAGGAGTACCTCATCATGGGTAAGGCACCCCAGCACCCCGACTCCACCTGAGGCAGCCCCCCGCCCCGGGGACTTCCCAATACCCCACAGGGCCCCTCGACACCAGCCCCCTCCTGGAGTAATTCCCCACCTCCAAGGCAGCGAAGTCCTCCGGACTTCCTTAATCTGGAGTGACTCAGTCAGCCGTGTGAACGCAGAGGTTTGTCCACCTGTCCTTCCTCCAAGCCCCGCCCCGTACATCTTTTCTGCTGAGCGTCTCCCCCTCCCCCCACTCACCCTGGAGATGGTCCCCTCCCCATTCAGCCTCCCCCCCAGGTACAGCCCCCCCAAGACACAGCACTCCCCACCCAGTGGTCCTGTGTGGGGGGGCGGTGCAGTGCTATGGGGCGCTCTAGGAGTCTTTAGAAGGCTCTGTGGGTCTGTGTGGGGCTCTGGGGAGGGGTTCTGGGGGCTCTGTGGGTATGTGGGGGTGGATGTGGGTCTGTGTGGCTCTGTGGGATTGGGTGACTCTGGATTTGTGGGGGGCACTGGGGGAGCTACAGGATCTGGGGGCTTTGTGGGGGGCTGTGGGGGGCTGTGGGGGTCACGGGGGGGCCTGTTGGTCACTATGGGCACGGTGCCAGCCACTCCCTCTGCCCTCTCCCCCTAGCCGAGCGGCAGGGCGAGCCCCTGACTATCTCGTTGTGCTCCTTCGTGCGCCTCTGGGGGAGAGTCCCCCCCAGCCAGCGCCGCGGGGTCAGCCAGGCCTACGGAGAGGGCTGCGCCTGTGAGGTGAGTTCTTGTGGGATGGGGTATGGGAGGCCTGGGGAG